ATCCTCAGGGCGGGGCTGTGTCCCCTCAGATCCTCAGGGCGAGGCTGTGTCCCCTCAGATCCTCAGGGCGGGGCTGTGTCCCCTCAGATCCTCAGAGTGGGGCTGTGTCCCCTTAGACCCTCAAGGCAGGGCTATAACCCCTCAGACCCCCAGGGTGGGGCTGTGCCCGTTCAGACCCCAGGGCATGGCTGTGACCCCTTAGACCCCAGGGTGGGGCTGTGCCCCCTCAGATCCTCAGAGCAGGCGTGTCCCCTCAGACCCCAGGGCGGGGCTGTGTCCCCTCAGACCCCAGGGCATGGCTGTGACCCCTTAGACCCCAGGGCGGGGCTGTGTCCCCTTAGATCCTCAGGGTGGGTCTGTGTGCCCTCAGATCCTCAGAGCAGGGCCGTGTCCCCTCAGATCCTCAGGGTGGGGCTGTGTCCCCTCAGACCCCAGGGTGGGGCTGTGTCCCCTCAGACCCCAGGGTAGGGCTGTGTCCCCTCAGACACCAGGGTCGAGCTGTGTTCCCTCAGATCCTCACGGTGGGGCTGTGTCCCCTCAGATCCTCAGAGCAGGGCTGTGTCCCCTCACATCCTCACGGTGAGGCTGTGTCCCTTCTGACCCCCAGGGTGGGGCTGTATCCTCTGAGATCCCCTAGGGCAGGGTGAAACCTGGGCCTTGGGTTCCAGGTCCCTCCACCTGCCCCTGACTGTCCCATCTCCCTCAGACTGCGGCCGCAGGAAGCTGCCTGTAGATCGCATTGTGGGAGGCCAGGACGCCAGCCTGGGAAGGTGGCCATGGCAAGTCAGTCTTCGCTACGATGGGGCACACCTCTGTGGGGGGTCCCTACTGTCCGGAAACTGGGTGTTGACAGCTGCCCACTGCTTCCCTGAGTGAGTGTCCCCCATAGTGCTGATGTAGGGGAGGGACGGAGGCAGAGAGACGGGTGAGGCTGTGTCCAGGCAGGCTACCACCCGTCCCTCCTGTTTCCTGGCAGGCGGAACCGGGTTCTGTCCAGATGGCGGGTGTTTGCCGGCGCGGTGGCCCAGGACTCGCCCCATGGCCTGCAGCTGGGGGTACAGGCGGTGGTCTACCATGGGGGCTATCTTCCCTTCCGCGATTCCAACAGTGAGGAGAACAGCAACGACATTGCCCTCGTCCACCTTTCCAGCCCACTGCCCCTCACAGGTAAGTCTGGGGGATGAGCACTGGCCCAGGGGCTCCAGAGGCCAGAGAAGACAGAAGAGAGTGCCAGGGGTGTAGGAGAACAAACTTAGGATTCAGGGGTCCACGGTGATGAGGAGGATGATCTTGAATGGCCACAAACTGGGCATTGGATATGAATGATTGGTGCAGCTACCTTGGAAAATTCTGACAGGTCCTCAAAAATGTAAACATAGAGTTACTATTTGACCCAGCAATTCTGCTTCTAGGTGTATACCCAAGAGAAATGAAAATGTTTGTTCATACCAAAGTGTGTACCCAAATGTTCATAGCAGCATTATTCATAATAACTAGAAGGTGGAATCACCCCAAATGTCCATCATCTGATGAATGGATAAGCAAAATGTGGTATATATATTTAACCCATTGCCATCGAGTTGATTCCAACCCATAGCCACCATATAGGGCAGAGTAGAACTGCTCCATAGGGTTTCCAGGGAGTGGCTGGTGGATTCGAACTGCTGACCTTTTAGTTAGCAAGGAGCCCTGGTGGCACAGTGGTTAAGAGCTCAGCTGCTAACCAAAAGGTCAGCAGCTCCAGTACATCAGCTGCTTCTTGGACACCCTATGGGGCAGTTCTACTCTGTCCTATAGGGTGGCTATGGGTTGGAATCGACTCGATGGCAATGGGTTTGGTTTTATATATATATATATATATATATATATATGTTGTGAGGTGCTGTCAAGTCAGTTCTGACTCATAGTGACCCTATGGACAACAGAATGAAGAACTAAACCCTGCCCGGTCCTGGGCCATCCTCACAATTGTCATGCTTGAGCCCATTGTTGCAGCCACTGTGTCAGTCCATCTCGTTGAGGGTCTTCCTCTTTTTCACTGACCGGCTACTTTACCAAGCATGATGTCCTTCTCCAGGGACTGATCCCTCCTGATAACATGTCCAAAGTAGGTGAGATGTAGTCTTGCCATCCTTGCTTCTAAGGAGCATTCTGGCTGTACTTCTTCCAAGACAGATGTGTTTGTTCTTCTGGCAGTCCATGGTATATTCAGTATTCTTTTCCAACACCACAATTCAAAGGCATCAGTTCTTCTTTAGTCTTCCTTATTCATCATCCAGCTTTCATATGCATATGAGGTGATTGAAAACACCATGGCTTGGGCCAGGCGCACCTTGGTCTTCAAGGTGACATCTCTGCTTTTCAACACTTTAAAGAGATCTTCCGCAGCAGATTTGCCCAATGCAATGCGTCTTTTGATTTCTTGACTACTGCTTCCATGGGTGTTGATTGTGGATCCAAGTATATATATATATATTCAACCATCAAAAGGAACAAAGTACTGATTCATGATACAGAATGGAAGAGCCTTGAAAACTCGATGCTAAGTGAGAGACGTAGGATTCCATTTAAAGGAAATATCCAGAATAGGTCAATCTGTAGAGACAGAAGGTAGATTAGTGGTTGCCTAGGGCTGGGGGTGGGGATGGGGCAGGGAGGTTAGGAGTGATAGCTAAAGGGCACGAGGTTTCTTTGGGGCTTGATGAAGGTGTTCTAGAACACTTAAAGGTTGTACAACTGAGTATACTTAAAAGCGTTGACTTGTACACTTTAAATGGGCGAACGGTGTGGTGTGTGAATTATATCTCAATAAAGCTATGACGAAGAAAATTAAATTAAAAATCGAAAGAAACAAGAATAAGGAATCAGAGAGAAAGTCAGGAGTCCTTCCATATGCGGTTCTCTGGAGTGTTGCCTCCGTCTCAGTGAGAACGGCTCACCTGGGTGCTGAGGTGTCTTAAACACTTCTCCAATGCGTGCTCACCTCCTTTGGGCTTAAGAGCAAACCTCGGCCTCCAGCCATCAGCAGGTCACAGTGTAATAGCAATAATAAAAATAATGGTGATAATGACCATAACATAATGAAATGATAGTGACGAGAATGAGCCTTTAGTAGGCAAAGTATGATAATAATCATAAAAAAAGAAAAAATCAAACCTGTTGCTGTTGAGTCGATCCCGACTCATAGCGACCCTAGAGGACAGAGTAGAACTGCCCCATAGGGTTTCCAAGGAGTGACTGCTGGATTCGAACTGCCGACCTTTTGGTTAGCAGCCGAGCGCTTAACTAACCACTGTGCCAGCAGGGTTCCTGATAATAATAATAATGAAGGAATATAATAAATAATAATATAATTCATAATAGTAATACAAGTAAATAATAATGATGAAAACTCAGGTGCCCTGCACTTCCTGTATGCCAGGCACTGTTCTAAGCATGTCCCATGTAAGAAATGCGTTTGGCCCTCACAGAATCCTCGTGAGGGTGGATTCTCTTAGGATCCTCTTTGCCCACATAGGGAAGGGTTCCGACACAGAGAAATTCATTAATGCTCCCAGTTCTCACAGCTACAAAGTGGCAAAGATTTGAGCCCTGGCCGACTAGCGCTGGGCTCTGTGCTCATAACTCAGGCTGTGCTGCCAGGGAATTCGGTTCCCTTGTGCGGTTTGCGTTATATTTATTTTTATGGTTATTTTCATGGTTATTTTCTTTTTAATGATCCTTGATACTGGTTCTTCATTCTTGGGAGCAATATACATTTCCCTAGGGGGACCCTGGCGGTGCAGTGGTTAAGAGCTTGGCTGCTAACCAAAAGGCCGGTAGTTCAAATCCACCAGCCACTCCTTGGAAACCCTATGGGGCAGTTCTACTCTGTTCTATAGGGTTGTTATGAGTCGGAATTGACTCAACGGCAAAGGATTTTTTTTTTTAATACATTTTCCTTTAAACCGAAACAAAACAAGCCCTTTCCCTTACTGAAAAGAGCGAGGGGGTTAAAAACGCTAAAATAAGGAAGCATCCATGGGGCACAGGTGGGCACAGGTGGACACAGGTGGGCACGGCGTAGGTTTGAGACACAGCTGTGAGCATAGCAGCATGCTTTGGGGTTGGGTCCAGGAACTTTCCAGCTATGGGACGTGGCTTCGCCTCCCCGTGCCTCGGTTTTCCCCACCTGTAAAACGGCCTCCTAGGGTTGAGATGATTGAAAGGCTTGATGCAGGTCAAGTGCTGACACATACTGAGTGCTCAGGAGATGTTAGTGCTTACTGCTATTTTTGTTGATCGCTATCACTCGTTATTGGAGCACTTCCTTTTCACCAGGCATGTTCTCAACTCTTCACTGCTTCCTCACTACGACCTCTGGGGGGAGATAGCTATTATTTCCATTTTCCAGATGAGAGATCGGAGGCACAGGCAGGCAGCGGGCAGGTCTGCTGAGACCATTCGTGTGGGCTGCGCACGGCACAAAGATGCTGCGTCTCGGGGCGCCGTTCTCACACGGATGGTGATTATGATTTTCTGACAGGGAGAAGTCAAGCGTCTCAAAATAAGGGCTCCTTTTTCTTTTCTTTTTTTATTGTATTTTCGATGAGGGTTTATAGAGCAAAATTAGTTTCTCATCAAACAATTAATACACATATTGTTTTGTGACATTGGTTGCCACCCCCACGACGTATCAACACTTTCCCCTTCTTGACCTTGGGTTCCCCATTACCAGCTTTCCTGTCCCCTCCTGCCTTCTTGTCCTTGCCCCTGGGCTGGTGTGCCCATTTAGTCTCATTTTGTTTTATGGGCCTGTCTAATCTTTGGCTGAAGGGTGAACCTCAAGAGTGACTTCAGTACTGAGCTAAAAGGGTGTCCGGGGGCTGCACTCTCGGAGTTTTCCAGTCTCTGTCAGATCAGTCAGTCTGGTCTTTTTTTTTTTAAAGATGCCTTTTTCTACTTCTCACAAAGGCTCCCTCTGGGCTGGGGGCATCCCCTATGGGCCATAGTTAAAAGCACAGGCTTGGGAGCTGGGTCAACCTATGTTCAAATTCGGGCTCAGCCATTGATTCCTTGTGAGACTTTGGGCAAGTGACTCGGCCTCATTCCCCTCCTCTGTGAAATGGGATAATAGTAGCCCCTGCCTCCCTGGGCTGAGGGATAACTACAGAAACTGTTGTAGGAAAGAGCCTAGTACATAGAGAGCACTCAGCAGACAGCAACGTGCTAGGATTGTTGACTGCAAGAACAGGGAAGGGTGGGCCGGGGGCTGCAGACGCAGCGGGACGGAGGTCTGCACCCGGTGGGCAGGCCAGCGGGGCACGGACCAGCGTGGTCTCTCCCGTAGAGTACATCCAGCCCGTGTGCCTCCCAGCCGCTGGCCAGGCCCTGGTGGATGGCAAGCTGTGCTCCGTGACTGGCTGGGGCAATACACAGTACTACGGTAAGTCCCTGCTCTATGCCGTGAGGCCCCGGCGAGGGGGTCTCTGAGCTGCGGCTGCTCCACTGATTCCTGGGCCCTGGAGTAGAGGGACCCTGAAGGGCCTGGGGTGGGCACCAGGAGGGACGGGGGTTGCGCGTGCTCCCAGCTCTGGCCAGCCTTGCCCGCATGCCCCCAGGCCAACAGGCTGGGGTACTCCAGGAGGCCCGAGTCCCCATTATCAGCAATGATGTCTGCAATGGCCCTGACTTCTATGGGAATCAGATCAAGCCCAAGATGTTCTGTGCTGGCTACCCAGAGGGTGGCATTGATGCCTGCCAGGTGAGGGACTGTGGGTGGGCGGCCCCTGGCCCCTGACACTCCGGGGAGGGGGACACAGGGCAGTGGGTGGTCGGGCTCCCCATCCTGGGGCCAGAGGGCTCAGTGACCACAGCCCATGGGCATCCCTGAGGGCCTCCTGGCCAGGCACCTTAGCCTCCAGCCAGGCCCCCCTTCCCCCTTCAGGGTGACAGCGGTGGCCCCTTCGTATGTGAGGACAGCATCTCTCGGACTCCACGGTGGCGGCTGTGTGGTATTGTGAGCTGGGGCACTGGCTGTGCCCTGGCCCAGAAGCCAGGTGTCTACACCAAAGTCAGTGACTTCCGGGAGTGGATCTTCCAGGCCATAAAGGTGCAGGTTACACCCAGATGGGAGTCTGAGGGTGGGACTGTTTGGGACTCTAGTGGGGGAAACAGAAGTGGAGAGTTTTCAGAAACTCATTCTCAGGCCTAGAAGAGGATGCTCTAGGGAACTGATTGATTTCAGAGGGTTTCTGGGGAGGGAGGGTTAGTTGTGGGGCATTGGGGGAAGCCTCTCAGACCTCGGAAGCCCCCAGTTGTCTCTCCCCAGACTCACTCCGAAGCCAGTGGCATGGTGGCCCAGCTCTGACCTGTGACTTCTCCTCACTGCCCACGCCTCCAGGGCCCAAGCTGATCTATGTGGCTTCAGCCCTACATTGTGGGGTCCATGCTGGGCCTGGGAAGGAACACTTTTCTTCTTGGGCCCAGCCCACAGGTCCAAGGATGCCGTCCGTCCAGGTCCTCTCTTCCACAGTGGCGGGCCCACTCAGCTCTGGGATCACCCAAGTCTCACCCTCCTGATGCCCATGTAAATATTTTTCAGCTGTCTGGGGACCCCGTCTAGGTGCCCCTGGCCACAGGATGCTCTTTAAATAATAAAGACGGTTTTGATTAATGTGGCCTCTGAGTTTGCAAATATAAGCAGCAATGATAACATTTTGTGGGGAGGGAAAAAAAAGGAATTATGGCCTGGCACAAACCAGGCAGGGAGCTTGACCCGCCCCCCGCCCCCAACCGCCCCACCAGTGCCCACTGGCTCCAGGGAAAAGATTTAATTGGTTCATTTAACTGGAAATGCCCTAGACAACCCCGGCTTCAGATAATGCTGGTTCCAGCTGCTCAAAAATTTTTCATCAGGACTGTGCCTCTTTTCTTCTCTCAGATCTGCTTTACTCTCTGTCACTTTTGTTTTCTAGCAGCCTCCCCCACAACCAGAGGCAGAGATGTCTCCCCAGGCTCATGTCTTGGAAAGAGAATACTTTTTTCCCAATAGCTCCAGCAAAAAAAAAAAAAAGTCCCAGACTTGGCACTCCTTGGACAGATTTGGGTCATGTGCTCATCCCTCGTCCAATCACTATGTGTCTGATACATGGTGTGTGTGTGGGGGTGATGTTAGACCCTCAAGAACCACATGACCCAAGGTAGGGGGTGGAGGGGGAGGGATGGTTCAGTGCTGTTTCCAGAAAAAGTGGATGTGGGTGCCCAGTAAGCAAAAGAAGGTGGTTGTCTTGGGCTGACATGGGAAACAGGGCCCTGCAAGCTGGGGATGGGGACGCCAGGCCCTGTGAGCACAGCCTGGGACCCTACCCCCACCCCTTCCTCCATCTGAGCTTGGGACTGGGTCCCAGCTGCCCCTGGGGAGGGACTCCCTCCCCAACTCTTATCTCCTCAGCATCTGCAGATTTTCTTGGTGTCGCCGATGGACACCAGGGGGTGTTATCTCCCCTAACTGGTGAGACATTAAGGCGTTTACTGCTTGATCTTGGCCACTGTTGCTGAAAACGATGCTCTGAGGGAAAACGCCCACCAAGTGCCTGTTGCCCATGAATTTAAGTGATAAAATTATAACGTATCACCCATCAGCCCCAAGCCCTCAAGCAATTTTCTAAAACATAAATAGATACAGGAAAACACCTTTGAGTAAGTAACTGTCCAGTTGGAAAAATGCTTAAAGTATCAGTCCCTGCTTATGAAACCTTTAGCAAAGTTGAGCCCCAAATTTGCCTTGTCTGTCAGGAACACACGAGCCCCCCATCTCATTTGGAGGCACTCCGTGAAGTTCTTCCAAAGGTCTTCACGGGGTGGTTGCGCTGTCCTGCCCATCTTATTTGGGATGCAACTCCAGACTTTGCTCACACGTTGCTTTGTGAGAAATGCATTGACTTGAGAGGATGTGACTATAAATCTTCCTTTATAACTGTCCGCCGAAAATTATACTGAACGATACATGTGTTTTAGGAAGTTTGGGGACTCTGAGAACATGGCCCACCCTGGGGATTCTGAGAGGATATGACCATGTCCTGGGCAGTCTGTGGACACAGCTCGTCCTGAGGAAGTCTGACCACATAGGACCCTGTTCTAGAGGGTCGGGGAAGATGCAACTCTATTCTTGGGAATCTGGGTGAAGTTTGGGCATTAAAAACCAATAGATGATCTGCTAGGAAAATGTAAGCTAAGGAGCCATTTTGGGCTCTGTCGGCATTATTGCTCCCTTGGAGGTACAGAGGGGGATTGCAATTCACTGAACAGGCATTCACCAGTTTCCTTTTTATGCCAGGGGCTGGTGAGACTCCGTTTCTCCCACCAGCCTTGCTACTCCCACTCCCCAAAGAACTCTGCTGTTGTTAGGTGCCGTCCAGTTGGTTCCCACCCATAGCGACCCTAAGTACACCAGAACGAAACACTGCCCAGTCCTGCACCATGCTCACAATCGTGCTTGGCCCAGTGTTTCAGCCACTGTGTCAGTTCATCTCGTGGAGGGTCTTCCTGTCTTTCTCTGACCCTCTGCTTTGCCAAGCATGATGTCCTTCTTCAGGGACTGGTCTCTCCTGATAACGTTTCCAAAGTATGTGAGTCAAAGTCTTGCCATCCTCATTTCTAAGGAGCACTTCAGCTACACTTCTTCCAAGACAGCTCTGCAGATATTAGAAAAATAATAATAACAACCACAGGGTTGCTTTGAAGTTCTGCTGGGGTCTTGCTCTTCAGAAAGGCTGAATATTAAAACTGTTCCTTCCATGTCATTGCTGTGCATCTCTGAGCCAGAAGTATTTGATCCATCTTCTCTAATTAGTGTAACCACATCAGGAACACAAGCATAATTTTGCATTCATATTTAGTATTTATATCTGATTATTCACTTTCAAATATAGAAAAGCCTTCTGTACGTAACTTAGAATGGAAAGCTCCATATGTTGTTTAAAAATTGGCATTCTCACAGTTGAGTTGAAGAGAAATGTATGGTTATTATTCTACAACAATGATCCCACAAGTAAAATACCATCATAACTAATAAGCAAGGATGGCAAGACTTCGTCTCACATACGTTTGACTTATCAGGAGGAACCAGCCCCTGGAGAAGAACATCATGGTTGGTAAAGTAGAGGGTCAGTGAAAAAGAGGAAGACCTTTAATGAGCTAGATTGACAGTGTTTCATTCTGTTGTACATAAGAGTTGCTATGAGTTGGAACCAACTCAAAGAACCTAACGACAACAAGTAACAGTGATTGTGAAGGCCATTAATTTTATATTCAGAAATAATTGTTGTCAACACTCAAATAGCGATGTGAATAGGGAAATGGATTGCTAGTTTCTGCACAAAAGGTTAGTAATACTATTAAATACTGCAGTTAAGTGAGCAGCGGTTCTGGTTCTGTTGCTACATAACAAATCACCCCAAGTTCCATAGCGTAAGACAACAACCATTTTATTATGTTCGTGGATTTTATGTCAGATGGCACAACAGGGACAGCTTGTGTCTGCTCCATCATGTCCAGATTCTTAACCAGCACACTTGAAGGTTGGAAGTGACTCGACAGCTGGGGACTGGAATCACTGGGAGGCTTCATTCCTCACATGTGTGGTGCCTGGGCAGGAATAACTCAAAGTCTGGGCTCATCTGGGACTACCTACTTATCATTTGTCCAAGTGGCTTGGGCTTCTTCACAGCATGGTTGTCTCAGGACATTTAGACTTCTCACATGGTGACTCAGGGCTCAAGTGAGCATTCCAACAGACACCGTCTTTTATATCCCAGCCTCACTTCTGATGTATAAAATCAGAACGAATATATTAAATAAACAAATACTACTAAAATAATAACAAATGCTTCTCCGTTGCCCTCCTCTGTGCACCTGGGGCTCTCATACCGGTCGTCTGTGTGCCACACATTGGGAAACACTTGTTAATCCTCATACAAGTCAGGAGGAGGAGGCTGTGGGGCCCAACATCCTACAGAGGGGCTATGTAATCTGCCCAAGGTGGCCCATCTGAGGGGCAAAGATGGGAGTGAGACCTGTGAGTAGAACATCTCGGGAAAAGGTACTGAGCCCCCATCTCCCAGCCCTGCTCTACTGACCAGGCTTGACACCGCTCCTCTGGGGAGTCACATAACTCCAGACACTGGGGGTATCCTGGGAGTGAAGATGGGAGACCTTAACCCAAAGATTTCTCTGAGGCAGGAGGGAAGGGTGAGAGGTCCCACCCAGCCATCATGGGGTGGGAGGGAGCCTGAAAATCAGAGCATGGCCAAGACACCTCTCTGTCCCACCTGGTTGGACCATATAAGGGGCTGGCTTAGATTTGGGGAAACCCCTGGAGCCAGAGAAGTTCCTTTGGTACACCCACTTTTAAGGTAGGGTCCTCACTACCTAACTCTGAACCCTGTCTGCCAAGCTGTTGTTAATTGCCATGTCGTGGCGACCTTCTGTACAACAGAACTACTCATTGCCTGGTCATGTGCCGTCTTCACGATCGTGGTATGTTTGAGTCCATTGTAGTGGCTATTGTGACAATCCATCCATCTCATTGAGCTTTTCCCTTGTATTTGCTGACCCTCTACTTTACCGAACACCATGTCCTTCTATAACAATTGGTCTTTTCTCATGACATGTCTAAAGTAAGCAAGATGAGGTCTCTCCATCCTTGCATCTAAGGAGCATTCTGGTTGTGTTTCTTCTAAGACTAATATGATTTTTCTTCTGGCAGTTCACAGTATATTCAATATTCTTCTCTAACACCACAATCGGAATGCATCAATTCTTCTTTTGTCTTCCTTTTTCATTGTCCAGCTTTCACATGTGTATGAGGGAATTAAAAAGACCACACCTTGAAACAGAATCCAACAGTATATGAAGAGTCATGCACCATGACCAAGTGAGATTTATTCCAGGAATGCAGGGATGGTTCAACAATAGAAAACCGATGAACGTAATACACCACATCAGTAGAACAAAGGTAACACATGATCATCTGTGTGGATGCAGAAAAAGCATTTGATAAAATCCAACACCCTTTTTTGATGAAAACCCTAAAGAAGATTGAAATAGAAGGGAAATTCCTCAGTATGATTCAGGGCATATATGAAAAGCCAACAGCCAACATCATACTTAATGGAGAAAGACTGAGACCTTTCCCCTGGAAATTGGAAACAAGAGAAGGGTGCTCACTCTCACCACTTCTGTTCAGTATTGTATTGGAAGTCCTAGCCAGAACAATAAGACAAGAAAAAGAAATGAAAGGTATCCAAATTGGAAAAGAAGAAGTAAAATTATCTCTATTCTCAAATGATATGATCCTATATATAGAAAATCCCAAAGAGTCCATAAGAAAACTTCTAGAGCTAACAGAGGATTTTAGCAAAGTTGTAGGCTACAGGGTCAACAAACAAAAATCAGCTGGATTTCTATACACCAGCAATGAGAAATCTGAAAAGGAAATTTGTTGTTGCTGTTTTTAGGTGTTGTCAAATCAATTTCGACTCCTAGCGACCCTGTGTACAACAGAGTGAAATACTGCCCAATCCTGCACCATTCTCATAATTGTTGTTACGCTTGAGCCCATTGTTGCAACCACTGTGTCAATTCACAAAAAGGAATAGGAATTAGGGAAACAAT